CAGCTAAAATAACTGTTCTCTCAATCCCGTCGCGAACCGCCATGGTAATGCTGTGTCAGGCTCAAGCGAATCCACTTCCTGTCTTCAGGTACGCCGACGTAGGCGCAATGCAAATATTGGCTCTTGATAAGAACTTCCTCGAGATGGAAATTAAATGAAGATGCAGTGAAGAGAGAGATTAAGTGAAGATACCGTTCTAAATGAAATTTATGTACAGTGCAAGTGTAAAAGAAGCATTTGATTCCAGATTCTTTCGGAAGAAAACATTTTCAAAAGAAAACTATTAAAAATGTTTAATCTTTAACATTGATTAAACATTGATCTTAAACATTAATTGTCTTCTTAAAAGTCAGAAAACAGTGACATTTGTTTTTACTAAAATAAAAAGTGCATCCTGCCGATCATGTACTCATATTGGATTGAAGCATATATGTGAAGATATCGATTGATTTCGCGGTAGGTGAACCTTTCACCCTTTTCGTTTTTAGAACCGGTTGGAAGTAGTCCACCTCGATTGCCGCCTAGATCTAAATTTGACGAAATGATGAAAAACGAGGGTCAAGCAGTGACGTTGCTTTGCGAGGCTCAAGCCAGCCCGTCGCCTTTGTTCAGGTGAGCCTGTTCGAACAGTTTAACATAAATCGTCATTGAATTGTTATAATTTGTGGAAAATTCACATATAAAATTATTTAAATTCTCTCAAATTTATTGATAATTGTACAACATTTTAATAAAATTAATTGAAGATGTTTTAAAAAATCAGAATGTTGTAACGCGGTTCTTGAGAATGTAAAATCCAGTTATCAATCGTTATCTTCACATTTTACCGTCCACAAACCAGCATTCTGCGTGCAGTGCGTCAACAATACATTTGATAACGACGACGACGACGACGACGACAATGATAATGATGATGATGATGATGATTATGGTGGCGTCGCGTTCTCCAGTTTCTCGAATGTTTGCGCTATTACAGAGCCGCGAGGCAGCGTACGTCCGAATGTACGAGACAAGGATGTGAACGGATTAAAGAGGGACATCTTAATCGGACAGACGGTCGGCCTACCTTGTCCTGTTCAGGGTTTCCCAGCACCTGCATTCAGGTACAGGCATTTACAAGTCAGATTGTCAAATTGCGATGCGAATTAGAATCGCATGTCAGACAATTTCGAAACAACGTTTATATACCATTTTAAATTGCGATACAAATGTGGGAAGATTCAATTGGACAAATGAGATATGACTTCTACGTTAATTCGTGCTCCGATCCCCTGCTTACAGAACCAACCGGCAATGTTGCGCCACGCATTGCCGGTGAACGTTACGAAGGTGGCAAGTTAATAGATGTACCAAAGGCGGGTATGGCGGCCTTGGAATGCGCCCCTCAGGGTTTTCCTGTCCCATTGACAAGGTATATTGGCAAAAATCGCTGCAATATCTACCTTGTTTTCTTTACGATGCGATTTCAGAGGGCACAAATAAAATCGCGCCACGATCATCAGGCAAGAAGTTCGGATTCGAAGTTGTTCTAGCTGTTGAAGGTCAGGATATTGCGTTGAGTCATTCGCTTCAGGGATACCCTGTACCTCTCACAAGGTAGACTTTAGAGGTCTTTCTTCACACTCGAATCTGTTTTTTCTGTTCTTCGTCGTCGTCGTCGATAAAGTAAATCACGTTCTGTAAATTACTAAAAAAAAATATGCTCATATGAGAATGCTCTCAATGAGCGATAGAAAATTATAGATAGGCATAGTGCATTATTTCATGAGTTAAGGAATTAACAATTTCGTAGTAGTTTCAAATTCAAAGTATCCGTTAAACACAAAATGAAAATGACATTACATCAATATTATAATTTCCCACTTAATAAATGAATATAATATAGCATATGTATGTAACAGTTATATTATTGACTAGGAAATTATAACATTGTTAGTCTGATACTTTATTGTGTTTAGCGGAAAGATTTCCAAGCTGATAGTTTATATCGAACGTTTACCGCGTGACGTTTGAGTTTATATGTGTGTGTATATTATAGTATATATAGTAGCAAAATAAATGCAATATAAACTCTAAAACATTTTCTAAAATATTATGTTATATTAATTAGATCAGTGTCATGCGGTAAATAATCACATGTAAACTTATTACAACATTGCATTCAAAATCGTTCACCATCTGGCAAGATTGGCATCATAGTCAGGTGAGTAGATTGCATGCTAAATTCTATCGATTTAAGCCAGGACGAACGCAATGGCGATAGGGTATGTATATAATCAAACTGTTAGTTCGCTTAAAATTCAAACGTCGCGTACCGGTTCCGCGGTTCAATTAAAAAATAGAGTGGACCCGAAAGACCAAGAGACGAACACACTTTGGGCAATCTATTTATTTCAGAGCCGTCTGGTCGTACTGCCCCGAAGGCGACTGGTGACGGCCTTAATAAGTACCGCGGGGTAGAGGGCGAGTCTCTGGCGCTGGCGTGTGCGGCACAAGGCTTTCCTGCCCCGATTACTAGGTACACACCTCCGTATAGATCTCTTTTTTCCCTGATTTGGATGTAGTCTCACGCTCCGCGGGGCACAGATCCTGTATTCACTATTGATATTTTCCATCCTTACCCTCTACCCCGTGTCGGGTGGCGGTACCGTAAGATTTGACAGGGGCAAGAAGAAAAGACACAATTTTTTTAACATAGAGACAGGATAATATTGTGAAATCTAGAGAAGAAATATAAAAGTATTTTTAAGACTCGGTACAGAATATAAGAGAAAGAATGCAAAGACGTAGAGAAGGAGGAGGAGAGGGGAAGAGAACAAGAGAGAGCGTAGATTAGAGCAAAACTTGGAAAAGGTGCTGAAAATAATGCTCTCGATTTTCATGCGACGGTTTAATGATTTTGATAGCCTTTTAATTCCGAATGTAAACTAAACGCGATATTTACACGAGTCATAAACAATAGTGCTAATGACGAAATGTATATTCCTGATCCGGGGCCAATTGGACGTGTTGGTTTTCAGTGCCAACTGGATCCTCCCCTCAACCCTCGAGATAGGTGACGGAAGCGCGACCTCGAAAAGGATGCGGGCCCTCTGCTCCCCCGGTATCCTCGGTGCTGATCCGGGTGGTTCGAGAGGGTATCACCCAATCAATGGGGCGGTCAATGTTGCCCTACACCTGCACACCTCCAAATAAGTCCCACAATATTTGGCTGGTAAGTCCTTGCCACCTTCTCGTGCCTCCGTTCATCCGCTCGTATTAATTCATTCCCCATCCTCTCTCTCTCTCTCTCACTCGTTCAAAAGAAAAGGTAAAGAAGTGAATCGCTCGTTCATGTACACATTGGGCGTGTGTGTGAATGACTGAGGAGAATCAAGCCTTAACAATTTTTTCACATCGTCCAATTGCACTATCGCCATTAAACGTACCGCCAATTCACCACTACCATTTTTGCTCCCTGCCCGATCACCTTCCACTGTCCGCCACCATTTGTGATTGTACTGTTCGACAATATCTCGCAAACCCGTTTTACGGTTCTAGAATTGATTAATCAATGCTAATAGAGAACGAATTTTCAAATTTTGCATCGCGAAATGTATTGTTATGTAAGAGATATTGTTGCTTATATAGAAAAGTATGAAAGAGTCCTTGCACTAGCACCCGCCTACAACAAATCACGTCCAAAAATCGCTGCTGCGATCGCTTGATTACATCGTTTAATTCTGGATTATATTGGCGTTTCTTTTTTACCCTCCTTGCCTAAGCTAATCAGCGCCGTTGTCAATATCACGAAGAATCGAGTATAATCATTCATTGCTTTCACATTGCACACAACCGCCCCTCACCTTCTCCCTCAGGGATATTATCGCGGCAAGGATCGACATGTGACTTTTTTACGTATTCTCTTTTGCTTTTATTAATCTATTGTCGTCGTCATTGTCTTTATTCTTCTGTTGCGCCCCGCCTGCATTGCTTCTCGATCGTGAGGCTACAGTAGAAACGTCTTGTTTTATTCTTGAATTGTGATTATGTTCTTGTACAAAATTATTTCGCGAAAGAGATGTGACACCGATAGATCGGTGGAGAAACGGAAGGCCGTGCCCAGAGACGCCCAAAGCCCTGCATATAGAATTTAAGGCATAATAGCGTAGAATGGAGCAAGCAGTTATCGATCATTATCAGATTTGTTAAAATTCACAGTCTTATTCCTCCATTAAAGTTCTGTATAACCCCTATAGGAATTTAATACTAGTACTGGCCAATTAATTAATTATTTTAAGTAGAGAGAGAGAGAGAGAGAGAGAGAGAGAGAGAGAGAGAGAGAGAGAGAGAGA